AAGAATGCTAGGCAATAGACAATCGACACCATCAGCACCAACACAAGCACCGCCAACAAGAGCAGACGATATTCAATCAATGGCATTAGAAGATGTTGAATTACCACAGGAAGCAGTAGATGACAGTTTTTATGGATCAGCGCCACCAATTCAACAAGCATCAGGAGCATCATCACAGCAACCGCCGCCATTACCGAGAATGCCATTATTCAAAACAACAATAGATAATACTATTAGTCCCGCTTACTGGAAAGACAACCTTAATTTAACAGTAAATGATATTAAATTTCAATTTTATTTAAGAGGAATTCAAGTGCCAGAAGAAAGCGAAATACAAGAAGAATTGAAACACAAAGGCAGAGGCAAGGCGAGAACATACAAAGAATATTTAGTAGATATGATTTTAGATACTATTGATAATGGCGGGTGGATAGTAAATTTAGGCAAAAGTAGAATAGAAGAACTCAAGGCAAGTTTTAAAGGTAAAGGAAAGAAATAATATATAAATAATTATAATGATAATATTAACTAAAAACATACTGAAAAGAAAGAAGCAAAAGTTCAATGATAAATATGATCACGACAGTTTTTCAATACATAACCTAACAAAACCAAACACACCAACAACAATACAACCACCGAAAATGATGAAAAAGGGCATACCGAGAGAATTTATTGACATTGCAACCAATACAGATACAATCGCCACAGAAACCAGAGAGACTCAAGAAAAGTTATACAATGATGCAAATCAACCATTAAATATGACATTTGAAGCGTTTAAGGTAAAGGAAAACCAGGACAATATGTTTAAAATAATGCTTAAAAACTTTTGGCACAACACACACAAGAGAAATGAACCAACAAGAACACAAGCAACACAAACACTGAAAAACCAACGCGACACAATGGTGTCAGCCTTTACTAAAATGCTCGACAACAACAAACCGCCAGAACCACCGCCAAAGAAACCACCAGATGAGGATGACAGCGATGAAGAAGAAAAGAAGTTCAAACTGACAAAAATGATAGAAATAATGCTACACAACGGCGCTACAGTAGCAGATATCATATTAAACTTATCGCACAGCGCAATTGCAACAACTATAAATATCGCAGATTTAGTCAATCAAATAACAGCAGGAAATGCACAAGCTAGCAGTAGTTCTTCTAATGAAATTATTAGTGTTCATAGTTCTCCACCTGTTACTGTCCATAGTTCTTCATCTGAAAGTCCAACAGAAATACCAGCACCAACTGAAGACGAAGAAGAAGAAGAAAACCAACATTTCAATTTTGAAAAATTAAAATCTAAATAATATTATATATAATGGGTATTGGTCAAAGTAAAAATAATGAAAATAATAGTTTGGAAGACATTAAGAATTTAAGTATAGATGAAAAAACACGAGCAGACACTTTAATTATTAAATCTCTTCAAGAATGTGTGACACGAATTGAAAAACTAGAGAAAGAAAAATCTGACAAATTAATATATAAACTTCCTGCTTTACAATTTTGCAATGCTTCGTTAATTTAAATTAATAATATTAACATATAATAATATTATTAATTGCTATCATAATCTGTCATTTATCCTCTGGTATTGTTGTTGAAGTAGTACTACTTATATCATCTATTAAATCTTCTTCATCAACAAAATTATTTTGAAATCTTAATAATTCCTCGTCTGTTGGTCGTCTTTTTAACACTTTATAAAGTTTATGTATCCAAGAATTAGTATGAAAGTTATAATTACCTCTACGATAAAATCCACCACATCTACATAGTTTCATTGACATATTATTATATTATATTAAATTAGAATATCTTTATTCATCATTCGTAATTTGAAACGCCTGTTCAAATCTGATATGAAACATTTTGTTAATGTCTTTAGCATTCATATTCACGTAGAAGAAACTATAAGGTGCGTCATTAACGGCTTGATGATACATATCTAATAATTGCTGTTTATCAACAATGGCGCTATTTTCTTCAATAAAACTCATTAACTCACTTGCATTTTTCAACCTAAAAATATATAATGAACTGGCATTTAAACGAATGATAGGCGCTAAAACATTATATTTTTGTGTTGAACAAATTACACTTACTGCATCGTGCCTACCTCTTGTAAATAATCCATGTAATAATTTACTATATCTAACAAATTTAGGATCGTCTGCGTGGTCATCTATAACGATTAATATTGAATGCAGTTTCTTTATCTTTTTAGATTTCATATAATTAATTATTTTCTTCTGTCTTTCAATTACATTTTCCAAATCACTTGGGTTATAATTATCAAAATATATTTGTTCTTTTTCATCATCCACGTGCAATTCATCCCTGATGTATTTTTTAACTTCTGTAAAAGTTGGGTCATTATGAACGCTGGGGGAAAATATAAATATTCTTGCAAATGAATTTCTATAAACATTTAAAATAAGATTCTGAACTAAAACTGTTTTGCCTCCCGTCGAACTCGCAACTATAATACTTCTAAATGGTAATTTTGGCACGTGCTCATATTTGGATTGTTTGAATTCATATTCAGTTATGTTTATTGGTTTTATTATTGGGACATCTGTCATAGTTGATATTAAAGAAATATAGAAAATTATATTTAAAAATTAACTTGTAATTAATATTAAATGGAACATCATTATGTTATGAGTGGCGGTGAATAACATAATGGAACAGGTTTTCCATTGCTTCAATCAATAAGCATTGAAGATAATTAGTTTTGTGTCTTGCTCGCGTGTGCAATGAAAACCCCAAGTGCTGTGCCCCACCAATATTCTATTATGCATGAAAATAATAAGATTAATTAGAATAATTTATCTTATTATTTAATATGGATAGAAGTTATTCAGATTATATTGATATAATAGATGAAGTAGAGAATATAGAACAAGTAATAATAACTGACAATAAAATTAAGAAATGCTGTTATTATACATTAGAATTAATAAAATTAGGAATACAATATATCAAAAATAAAAATGTAAATATTAATATAAATGGGAAAAAAGAAAAACAAAAAGAATAAAACGGATACTACAGTTTCTTCAACAGATGAAGACAAAGAAGAAGAAATTGTTAAGGAAACAGCACTAACCGAGTTTGAGTGTCCTATGTGTAAAAAGATGTTAGAAATGAAAAATGAAATAGAAATACAAAAGAAAGGAAATTGTAAATGTTCGTGTATTCCGACAAATTTCAAATTGAGTAAAAACGATAAGAAAATGAATATTGATAAAACCAAAGACAGTATAAATCTGGAAACGGATGTTCATAATATAACTTTTAAATGGGGGAGGCATGCGTCGCCATCCGATAATGGTGATAACGAAGCACAGGAAACTATTAAACAAATGATGAAAATTTAGTACTTAAAGAGTAGATTTTACATTAAATCAATTTTATAAATAAATAAATATTTAAATAAATAATTATATAAATAAATATATATAGAAATGTCTGAAGTTGAAAATGATGTTATTGTTGAACTATCAAAGAAGATAATGACAGTTAGTAAAAATGTTAAACTGTTGTACGAGATGATAAAAACTATTGACCAGAAACTTGATGCAAAGGCAAACGAACCAAAAAATAACAATGAAGAGAAGGAAAAGATTGATAAGATCTTTGAAAAGAAAGGGATAGGCAGACCCAGCGGTGATTATGACACGAAGCGTAAAAAATATTGCGATATGTTAAATAAGGGGCAAATCAAAAGTCCAAAAGAACAAACATTAGAATATTATAAAATAATTAAGGGCGATGATGGTAAATATGTAATTGTTGAAAATTAAAATATAAATAATTCTAATAATATGAATTTATTAGAACTATTTTCAGGCAGTGGTTCTGTTTGTAAAATTGCACGGGATTTAAGTTTTAATGATGATAATCCAATTTTAGCAATTATAATTTAATTATGCTATTTTAATTATAATTTTATTTTATTAATTTAATTTTAATTTATTAATTTAATTTTAATTTATTAATTTAATTTTAATTTATTAATTTAATTTTAATTTATTAATTTAATTTTAATTTATTAATTTAATTTTAATTTATTAATTTAATTTCTTGTAAAAAGTACTTAAAGAAATATTAATTATATATATTATCATACAAATGGTTGTATTTACAGAGGTTGAACAGGAAGAAATTATCAATGAATTCTTAACTTATATTGAACAACAGGAAACTAAAATAATTGATTATTTTTTGAGTGATAATGATAATAAAACAGAAGAAGAAGAAGAAGAAGAAGATGACAGTTACGGATTTGTAACTGAAAAACGGTTAGAAAAGGAAGTTACAGAACATCATAAAATGATAAACAATATTGAAACGAAAAATTACATCCCATTAAAACATGCAATGATAAAATATATGGAACAAACCAACAACCAACGAATAATTAGAAATGCTGGAAACTATTCATACAGTCAAAAGACATCCAATTGGTGGTATTTAAGCTTTAGAGAATTTGAATGGTTAATCGAAATAAAAAAGAATGGCAACAAATGGATTTGTAGCAAAGAAAAATTAGATGCAGTTGATTTTAACATATTGTATAAATATAAAATGTTTGAAAGAAGATTTGAATAATTATATAAAAAAAACGAATGAACCAGACCTTGCCCATAATATGTCTACAAAATTTGTGATAAAATTTATTGTATAATAATTTATCATAATTTTTGGAATAATATTTTTTGAAAATTTATTTTTATTTTTTTTGCAAAATTTATTTTTTAAAATTTATTTTTGAAAATTTATTTTTTATTTTTTTGTAAAATTTATTTTTTATTTTTTTGTAAAATTTATTTTTTAAAATATGGATGAACTTACTAGGAAATTACCTGCTTTAAAATGTTGATTTTTGAAAATGTGCTTTTTGAGGTGCTGTTTTAAAATGTTGCTAAAAGTGTGGGGGGGGTCCTAGGATTTTTTATAGAAAAAAGATGGGCAAGGTCTGGTCTAACTAAAAGTGCTAAGAATGAGGGGATTCATTACAGACGCTGACGAGGGGCATTGCTCATCGCGACCTAAAGCCTGACAACATCCTGGTGGTGGATCGACTGTGGGCTGAGGATCCAGATGCCGCCATAGAGGCGCAACTCGCATAGCTCACGGCGCACCGTGAGCACCATAAACGGCTGGAGAATTGTGCCAGATTGGCAGGTGAAGCTTGCCGACTTTGGACACTCCAAAGTGGTGGATGACTTCTTTGTGCGCTCATCAAGTGTGGGTACGCCCCTGTACATGGCCCCGGAGGCCTTTGAGCTTGAGGCGCCTTTTGTGGCCACCAGAAGATTTGAAGAATCTGAGTTCGAACGACTGGATAGTCAAGCGACAGGACATTGATGCGCGGTCAGCAGACTTGTGGAGCCTCGGGGTGCAACTTGGCTTTCTCAGTGCGACACGGACCCGACGGACCCTTCCTGAATCTTCCTTGAATCTTCCTTGAATCTCGCCCTTCCCGAAGACCCCTTGCAAGCCCTTGCAAGCCCTTGCAAGCCCTTGCAAGCCCTTGCAAGCCCTTGCAAGCCCTTGCAAGCCCTTGCAAGTCATGCAAGCCCTTGCAAGTCATGCAAGTCATGCAAGTGCAATATCATGCCGAGGCTTCTGTTTGTCATGCTGGTAGGCAGCTGTCCTTTCGAGGGCAGGGGCCCAGAGCTCCGAGAGGCGGGATCCCTTCGGATTCGACTGTCGACTGTGAGGCTCAACAAGCATGGAGCATGGCCACAAGGTTTGGCAAGTCTGCAGGCAATTCAGCGCGGCGAGTTCTCTTTCTATGCTGACCCTGTGCCAAGTGAAACTGCGCAGTCACTGGTGCGGTCTTTGGTGAAGCGACAACCCAGCAGGCGCCCAGACTGCACCAAGCATTGGCCTTGTGCTTTTGCAGCACCCTACAAGACTTGGATTTATGCTGGGCCCAAACAAAGTTCAAGTCACTTAATCCTTGGGCTTGCAGATGTGTTGCAAGGGCATCCTGACTCTTTGCTTTGTGGAGCAAGCACTTGGCATCATTGGGGTGAGTCTGGCCAACCAAGCCAGTGTGGATACTATCACAACCAGTCATGCGAGGGCAAGCGTGCAGGCGTGCGTCGCTGGATTGGTGCCTAGTGCACCCATTCATCGCGCCACCGGCAGAATTGGGGCGCCGGCTTTTGAACGACGGGCTGGCAACTTCTGAAGGCATGGCTCAATGGTACGGGGTTCAACTGCCAGGCACTCAATATAAACTTGAATGAACACAGAGTGACTGGCACGGGGCTGGAGCAAGTGCTTTGATGGGGCATCGGACAACCTTGTTTCAGCTCAGCTCTACATGCAGTACTAGCCATCCACTTGCCTTCAGACGACTGCCTTGAAGAGTACTACATCCTGCCAGTATTGTCAGCACGTCAAATCAGATGCTTGTTTGCACTTCACTGAATGCAGCATTTGACTAAAATATGACAGGAATGCTCTTGAGCCGTGTTGATCAGATACCGTGATCCAGCCAGATTGATCCAGCGCTCATTCGAAAATTCGAGGAAACCTGCGGCACGACCTTTGCAGATGGATGCAACTCGTCTTGACCTGATGGCACTTGTGCTCGAAACGAGCTGGCCTAAGCAAGTCAAGCAAAACACGCAAAGCACAAAAGCCCCTGTTCGGAGTTTCAGGTTGAAGTTCCGATACTCCGCTATGACCAAGGGTTCTGAGGCGCATCCAGTGTCAGTGACCTAGAGTTGCACCGTTGCCTGAGCCAGGTGGTGGCCAGCTACGGCCTGTGCTCTTTGGCAGATGTGGAGCGCATCAAGCGCGCGCATCAGGAGCTCTTGGAGGCGGGCACTGATGGAAGGGTTGAAGGATAATGAAGGATATGGATTAGATATGGATTAGATACAAAGATACAAATTCAAATAATGATACAAAGCTGTTCTGAGTTCGTGAGGTAATGTCCTTCCACACGCACGCCAGACGTCCTGCACGTGGAAACGTGCTGGACTTGCTGTCCCAGAAGCCGGAGGTGAGTAATGGTGCCATTTCAGGTGGGATGCTTCAGGTTTAACGATTGGTTTTGTAGCACAACATGCTTTGCAAGCGTCTTGAGTCTTGAGCTTGCGTTCTCCATCCCATGCAGCCCTTTGCAACGGCCGCCCAAGGGACGAACGGAGGCGGCGTGACACTTGCTCGCGCAGGTGGCGAAAAGTGTGCAGGCCGCGCCGATCCCGAGAGTGCTTGCAATCAGGGCCCTGGCCTCATAGGCGTTCATACAAAGCCCATGGAATAGAGTTCTCAGGAAACAAGCGGGGCGAAGAGAACGAGGAGAATCATGGAGAACCATGGAGAAGCGGCAAAGTTGTTGAGTGCGCAAGCTACATTATTCATACATTGTCCCAAGCATCAGAGTTGTGCGCCTTGCAAGATCGCACGCCCAGCCTAAAGTGGCACATTCGATGGCCTCAGCCAAGACATGAGACCATAGGACGAGTCCACAGCCAGAATGCGGCGCTTGGCAGAGCGGCAGAAGGCCGGGGAGGATTGAGCTCCATTCATGATCCAGACCGGTCCGGACCATAAACCCCAAGCGATATGCGCTCATCTCGACATGATTGGGCGGTTGGGGGCGGTAAAGTTGAAGTTGCAATGCAAGTCGCGCCGCTCAACACAGAGACCAAGATCATGCAAGATCAGGTAGGAACCCAATACAGGCAGACTCCATTGTCACCTCAAAGTTGCTTCAAAGAAAGAGCGCATGTGCAGTGTGCAAGCCAGGCCAATCCAAAGTGGAATTTCACTGGGCGGTCTGCAGGCGGGAAGAGTGGAGGTCAAAGCAGATGCGAGTGGCACATTGGCGTATTTTTTTGCAGGAGCAAGAACTGTGAATGACCAGTTTCGCCGCTCACCTGCAAGAGGTTGCAAGAAGGTGAGTAAGAGTACGGCCAATTTCCATCGTTTGCCCCCCCAACGATGACCGCCCCGCTCGTGAGCGCCTCGCATTTGTTCCGTGTTTGCATGTTTACGCAGCCATGTCGTGAAATCCTAGTGGCGTGAAGGGCATCCAGCTTGAACCCTAAACAACCCTTAACAGCCCCAAACAAAACTAAACAACCGGATCCAACTTCAAGCCCTCAACTACCCTGAGCATGCAGAGAGCCTGCACAAAGCTCCAAAATGCTCTCTTTGTGGAAGAACAGGCTGCAGATGTTCCATTGGAAAGTCAATTGGAGCAAGATACTTACGGAGGATGCCTCACACTTTCGGCCTGATACCTTCACTTGTAACAGCTGATGCCCGGTGTACAGTCCAACTACTCGGTACACCGCCCGTAGTAGCCCGGGTAGTATCGTGCGTTTTTTGGCTTCCGAGAAAATTGTCGAAGCTGCGATTACAGCGGGGAAAGGAGAGCACCGTCTGTCCCTCATGTAAAATGCGCCGAGACAGTGTGGAATTTATTGCGTGCCCGAATCCCACTGGCACGCTGCTTAGACAAGCTCATGTTTCCAGCCCCCAACTATCCTGTGTCAAGGATTTTGCCATGTTCAAGACCGCATGTTGCCTGGGAACCGCATGCTGAAGTCTCTTTTCGAAAATCGACGGGGGCAGGGAAAAGGTGAAATCCTCAAATCTTTGTCGGTTTTTCGGTTGCCGGCAACACACAGGCTTCTGAGGAGTCAGCATCGTTTGCCAAGCAGTTTGCCATGTTCAAGACCGCATGTTGCCTGGGAACCGCATGAGGAACTCTCTTTTCAATATCCGGCGGGGGGAGGGGTCCTAGGTCTGTTGTTGACCCAAAGGGTAATTCCCCAAATCTTTGTCGGTTTTTCGGCTGCAGGCAACACACAGGCTTCTGAGGAGTCAGCATCGTGTGCCAAGCAGAGTGCCATGTTCAAGACCGCATGTTGCCTGGGAACCGCATGGTGAACTCTCTTTTCAATATTTGACGGGGGGGAGGGGTCCTTAGTCTGTTCTTCCCCCTCCCCAAATCTTAGTGAACCTATGTGGGCATACCGTGACAGCAGACACAAAGGACGAGATGTGGTCTGCTGGTTGACACGCGACGTCCAGAAGAGAGTCCAAGTAAGGCAGCCAGACAGTGAAAAAGGGGCCCAGCACCGAGTGTGTGGAGAAGCTGCGAGATGCCAGCTAAACGCAGCAAGATGATGAAGGCGCGCGCTAGACGAACGTCTTCTGACACCATGGTTTGGGCGCAAGAAGCTACAGCAAAACAAGACAGCTCAGCACACACACAAAGAACACCACACACCCCACAGAAACAGGAAATAAATACGTTCTTGTCAAGCAAACTCGAAGAAGTGACGCAATCATCCCCCCCCACCCCCTGAGGCCCACTGCCGGGGTGCCTATCCCAGAAGGGAACATCAATGTACCATGAGTCGAATGACTGTACAAATGACTTGAAGGGCCTTGAGCCATCATGTCAGCAGAGTGTGTGAATAGGTCAATGTGCAACAAAAAGCAACACAAAACAGACACAAATTTCTTTTGACCATCACACCGAAGTGTATGATTGGCTTCTTGGCCTTACGTGCCGTAGCCATACTTGAAAATGCCGTAGCCATGTATTGTTAAAATGATTCATCCAATTTTGGCGCGGATGATTTGTCATGTGAGCAAAATGGAAAACAGTCTGTACTGATTCTGTGAGATACCTAGATGTATCGAAAAGGTGATGCGCAACGCTATGTACATGCGGGACGGATGTGAAACTATTGATCTCTCACTGAATAGTCTTGTTGGTGGTGAGGATCAATCTGGTTGAAGTTCGTAGTGTCGATCGTGGGATTCTTCTCAGTCGGTCGGACAAGTGCCGAAGATGGCTGCCTCATCAGGTGATCAGCGGTACCACCTGCGGCTGCTGTCGGATTGACTGCCATAGTCTCCATAATCATTCCAGGTCGAGTCGCCATAGTCTTTCCATTGCTTTGGATTGCCCCAGTACTGCTTGTTGTACTCTTTGTAGTCTTGCTGAGTCCAGGATTGTTTCTTCTTGAGGTGCTCCTTGGATCTCTCAAAGTTGCGTTGCCTGGCGGCAGATCTGCTGCGGATGTAGACCATCAGCGGACTGTGCGAGTCGGAATCTTGTGAGCCACTCATGAACATATCGTTGTTCACGTGCTTGAAGCGTTCCGCGGATGAGACCTGATAGTCGAAGATGGCAGACGTTGGATCATTCCGCATGGCTTCCAGTTGTTCATCCTTCATGGCGTTCATCTCTTCCTTCCGGAAAACCTGCTGGATATTCGTTTTGCCCCATCCAAATACGAAAGTCATCATCACATCTGGGAATGTTCGATCATACCCTGATCCAGTCTTCATGTATTGGTGATGACGGACAATGGATTTTAGGGTGCATGAAGTCTCCATTGCATACTCCATGCTGCCCACGAGTGGCAGATTCTGTTTCATTCATTCCACAATCTCTGATATGCCTTCATGAGGATATTCATGAGACCGTTGGCCGGATTGAAGACGTGCTGGAGTCTGCTGTTGGTATTCGCGGATTTGTTGGCGTCTCCGGTGATCGCATCGCATTGGTGCAATGTCACGAGTGGCATGATTTCGTTCTGAAGATCTTCCCGTGCTGCTCCATGGCTGATTGATGGATGAATGTGAAAAACTCCAATGGTAGCAAACGCTGCCCTCGTTACGTGGCGGCTGTCAAACTCGAGGAGTGATTTGTTGGATGATTTTGGGAGCGTGCCACGATACTCATCACTCTGCTCGATGTGGCGAACGGCAATCTCTTTGTTACGTCCGTGTCCTTGGACAGTGGTGCGTGGTGGCAATCTCGGCCCGATGTACTTCTTGGATTCAGTGAACATGGATGGTCCCGTAGTTGCCAAGCAGTCCAAGGTCGGAGTGTCGTATTCAGGATCAGTGCAATTTTCCTCGGTTCCGAAGAAACATCTGAACATCCCGATGTGGTTCCCCAATTCTGACTCTTTGTGGAAATGTGTCTTGCCAATAGTTCCACTCTTGCGGAGGGTCCGCCGCGGACAAAGCATGCAATTGGTCTGGATGACCATTGCTTGACAACGATGCCTTTGTACCAGAACCGGATGAACGTCTTGATGAGTTCTCTGGATTTCTCATCTTGAGGACTGAGGAATGCGTCTGCTTCATTGAGGCATAAGATGTGTGCGCTGTTCTGCATCATCATCTTCACGATTGGTCGATCCGTCATCGCCATGTTGTACACCTCCCTGTTGTCTAACTTTGGATTCCTCGTGAGGTTTCCATGGTTCATAGTAAGCGTGTTGATCGTCATGGATGAGGTGAACTCATGCGTCTTGAGATGGTCCACAGGGAACGGTCGGTCGGCTGCTGCATCAGCGATCCCAGGATATCGGCAAATGCTCGGATGACTTCTGGGTTGTCATGTGACCTAAGCTTCTTCAATCCAAGTGGAAGCTTAATCGGATATCCTGATATATCCTGATACTGGCTGTGCCTTCCGGTACTCGCCCATGGTGGGACATTCTCCTCGATGGCGGAAATAAAACTCTTCGTCTTCGAGGTTGACATCGGGATCGACGTGTGCCAATGAGGCTCTCTCGCATTCTGTCAATTTAGGATGAGCTCCTTTTGGATCCTTGTTGTACTCTCCATGAAGCGGATGAAGTTCTTTTTGGTCTCCACGAGCTCTTCCTCGGCGCTCATTTCTATTTTGAGGTAGATTTCCTTGGATGAACTTGTCTAGGTTCTCGGAATTGGGATACTCCAAGGTGATCTTTGGCTTGACGGATCTCTCCCCGGAGGGTTCCATGTTCTCCTCTTCAACTTCGTCCTGATCCGTGGAGCGCCGTCGCTTCTTGGTCTCTGTGGATGTATCCTTTTCGGATTTTTCCTTGTTTTGGTGGTCGTTGTTCACATGTTTGAAGAAGGCATCGGCGAATTCTTGGTTCTTGCTGGTGTACATCTCAATGTCTTCACGGCCGAGATTTTTCTTCATGATCCAACTGTTACTCATTATGATGTTTCCCTCGGAATCAAATGCTGTAACAATGTTCCTCGCCTCGATGGTTTGCTCTGTCAATGCTGTTCGCTCGTCGAGGAGTCGGATGTCGTAGTCCTGGTCCTTGAGGAATGCCAGGATCAACAATGCATCTCTTCCTGTTGGCACATGTGTCAATGCTGCTTCTGACGCTTCGTCATCAAGGATAACGTCGTCGATGCATGCCATGTGGATGTTCACTTTTTTGGAAGGGTTTGATTGGGGTCTCCCAGATTTCAGTTCGTGCTCCATGATGTTGATCAGATTCTCTCCATATGTAGCGTGGAACATGAACGTGGTGGGCTTCTTCGCGAACGGCTTGATCTTTCTTTCTTCTTCAATGGACTGAGGTGCCGGCCTTCGCATTCTGGATTTTGCCTGAGCTGTGCCTTCATCTTCATGGGGCGCGTCGGATCTTGACGGATGCGGACTTGGAGGAATGGATTCCGTTGGAAGATCATAGTCCGGTTCTTCTTGGCGAGGCTCACTCTTCTGTTCGGAGTACAGGGGTCACCGCTGTTGCATCTCACGTAGAACTCCATGTCAGGATCATTGAGGAATTCCTTGCCATTAGGCCGGAGTGCGTCGTATGCGGATCTAGAGGTGAGGTTGTCGATCCATTGATTTCTTGGAACATTGGAACAATGTCTCCCCTTGCCTTGCGCTCATTGTATGACCCGTCCACAGATGGATACACGAACGCAATCTCGAAACGTGCCTTTCCATAGTTCGGGAACATAGCCATCAAGAGAAGTCCTGGCTTATTGCCCATGAAATTCCTGGCATGCGTAATGCAGGTCAATCAACGGATCCATCAGGACCCATGTCCACTTGTCGTTTGCATTCTCTGTGCGGAAAACAATCTGCTCATTCTCTCGA